GCTGGCGTCGCGGGCGGGCGCTCCGGGGCGCAGCAGGGACACGTCGTCGGGGCGGGAAGCTACTGGGAGTCAGTGGAGCCGGGGCTCGCAGGCTCCCGGGAAGTTGCTGAGCGCCGGTACTGGTTGATCTCCACGCTCCCGGGGCGTGAAGGCGGGGAGGGCCCTGAAGCGCCGAGACTCAGAGGTTGCAAGAATGCACGCAATAACTTTGACCTGCCCACGTGTTGGGAATCCGCGGTCCTCGGGTTCCCACCCTGTGGACTGGGGCTTAAAGTTGGACTGGGTCGTGCGTGTGATGCAGGGGCCAGCAGAACCTCCATCGTCTGTGGGAGCTTAGCGGCTGCCTCTGCGCTTCTCTTGCGGCTGGCTGGTAAAGTGGCCCCAGAGCTCCGGAAGGAGCCCTGCTTGGCCCAAGAGGAATTGAGGCTGGCCAGTTGTGGCCTTTCTTATCATTCTTCCACTTCAAGAGAAGGCACAGAAGGAGAGTGACTGGTGACATAGGCATGGAGTGTCAACAGAACATCTAGAAAACAGCTTAATCCTGCCTGCTTCAGAATAACTCTGGGATGAATGCAGAAGCAGAGGGCAGGCTCCGGAAGAGACCCGAGATCAGCCCGGCCTTCTCCCTAAAAGATGGGGAAGGCGGGTCAGGTGCTTCCCCTTATGTGCCGTGGAGGGACCCAGGCAAGCACAGTGTGGCCGCCTGATTGAGAGAACTGGGTCTGACTTTAGCTAACCTGCACTTACATTCTTGTGCTTACCACATGCTACTTCCTCAGCTGTTAGACTGAAATATCATTGCGGACCTCAGTGGTTGTGTTAGGTGTGTAACAGCGCAAGAGCCGGCGTGCAGCAGCTCCCACGGTCTCACTGACCTGCGCAGTGTTTCGGTGCTGAAGTGGCAGTGGGACTTCCAGTTGTAGCTGATGTGCTTGTTCCAGAAAGATGCTAAATGATTTTAATGTGTCACAAAATAGTCTTTTTAAACTGTTTTTTTTCATCATTGTAGATTTTTTCATCATTGTACATTTTTTCATCAAAAAATGTAGAAACCATTCTTAGCTCGAGAGCCATACAAAAACAGGCGTTGGGCAGGATTTAGCCCAT